TGATATTAAATGCAGACAGTGTTCCAGAACGGTTTTTCCTGAAACGATCTATAATGATTTGGATTTGTAAAGATTCCTTTTTATGGAGGGATTTGAATAATGATATTTCGGAAATCATTTTCTTTATCAATAATTTATTGTGGGATGCCCCTCAACTAATGCTTGATTGATAAGAAGGGTGTGATACTATAATATATGTTATTAGGTAAATTATTTGGCGCAGGTTTAATCTTTTTTTACGTATGGCTGGTAAGTCATCTACTTCTTGACTATATTTACTAATACTAATAACTTCATACATCTTACATACGGCAGTCTGATCCCAAGCCAGGCAGAGCCTATGCTTTGGTAACCAGACTGCTGATAAATATTCTTAGATATTTCTAAAGTACATACACATTAAAGATAATCACACAATTATTTGTCTTGGGTAGGAATCGAACCCACGACCTCCGGCTTTGACCACTAGACTAACGCGCCAGTTAAAAACTCAATCTGGACTTTCCTTTAAGGCTAAATCGAGTCTTCAGTGCTATACCCCTTTTTTTTTTATTTTTTTTTCCGTGCGGAAATCCCCTCGGATACCCCCTGTCGGTGGCATGTCGGACTCGAACCGACTAAAACCGCCGGCCCGTTCCCGGGCCTGGCGGGCCGGGAGAGTCCTAAACCTCTCCCGGTCCCGCTCCGCCGTCTCCTTCGCGCGCTCCGCACGATAGCCGCAATCAGGCTATCGAGCGAGAGAACTCCCACTCCGATGGCCGCCACGAGGTCTCGCCTCTGCTCAACCCACGCCGGGTACTCTGCCAGCGTGTGGAGAGCCGTGTCCACGGTCTGGCCATCGCAGTGTTGGAACTCAGACGTTGGCTCCTTGCGGATCAGACACAGGTGATCCCCGAAACATCCTTTCCCAGTGATCACCTGCGTCAGTCGGTATGAGAGGGTCCCGTGACGCCTCTCGAGCCAATCCTCCATAACGGGTCTTACCGCCGCGATGACGGCGTGCCCGGCGCTCGGTTGCCCGAGTCGTTCCTTCCACTCCCCTATGATGACCTGGCGGAGTTGGAATTTCCGGTCATCGATTTCTCGAGTCTCGGGACACCGACCCAACTCCTTGCGCCACTTATACAGAGCCGCAAGGGCTCTCGCCTCCAGGTCCCACGGTGGAGTTCCGGCCAGGAGACTCGCCGCCTTAAAGGAGATCGTGCGGTACCCCCTTATGATCCTGATGGCCAGCACTCGCTGCGGTCGTCGCAGTATCGCGACGTTGCTGGCCTTCAGGGCCCCCGCCCAAGTGCTATACCCCTCATACGTATGCAACATTTAAAACGCCTTATGAGTTATGACTGAATTGAAAAGTTGCCTTCGCCTACGGTTTCACTTGCATTAATGTAATGTTGTTGATTCACTATTCGACTGCTTCGGTGGTTCAGTGGTAGTTTATGCGACTGCTGTGCTAAGGTCTCCGGTTCGATTCCCGGGTCGGACCAAATGTTTGTATGATCTCAAATATTTGTTTCGGAGTTTGAGTGTTGTCTATATATATATATATATATATATATATGCATGTATTTAAAGAAAAAGTATTTTAGCAGTCAATCTAGCTTTCATAGTACAAACTCTGCTTAGTTTGAAATTAGATGACGTTGTGCCAGATATCCGAAAAAAATAATATAATAAGTGCATTGATGCAGAATTTTATCATCATTATATATATTATATAGCTTTTAGAAAGCCTTGTTGTGACCTGGCTTCTACCAGGTGGAGTTAAATTTCATAATGAACACTATGGTTTTATGTTAAAAAAGTTATCACTGAGTCATAATTTCAATACGGGTGGGCTATTAACTGGATGCATTTGGCACCTTCAACAACGCATGGAGGCCCATGGTACTACTGAAATTAAAATCCTTCCTTGTACCTACTCTGAATGCGTATGCTAATGATGGTTTATTGCCAGTGGAATCTAATACAAGAGCAGGTCTAGAAATTAGCCAATAGATGTTTAAACTTAATATCTCATCGTGAACGTAACATAAAACGTACTCGTTTAGCTTTTAGCGTTATACATATTAGTCAATATTAGAATAGTTAAGAAAATTCTAAAAAAAGCTTTTATGCATTGACCTAGATATCAACTGCACCAATAATACACTAAAAATCATAATATAGAGCTACTTACAAGTATGTAGATTCTGTGTGCTATGGTGCACCTGTATAGGCCGATATAACTGTAGGCGTTGTGCGTCGCAAAATTTAGCAAGACTAACGACTTGTAGGGGCAACAAAACGTGATAAAGTCACAAGATTTCTTCAACAGCATGACAAATGACAACAACGCAATTTCCTACGGGTCATGGTAACTTTAAGAACAAACTGCATTCATCTAAATTAGTTGAGTCAGCATTGTGTTAATGTTCAACACCAATGTTCTAACTGTGATCAGTCTGCTCATCATATATTCTGGGAATTTAGTCTTTGGTACAATGAAATTGTTTGTTAAGTTAATTACAATTTTAGTAATGAATGTTATAAAACGTATTAACGTATACAACTACACAAAAACATAAAAAATAAGGATATAGGTTCTAAAAAATTGTACAAGTATGAGGCAAAATTTTGGCAATTTTTATAAAAAATCCTAAAAGTCCACTATGTTGAACAAGGTTAGGTTTTTATTTTTTTTATGGCAGAGGGAGCAGACGTGTCACCTGATGGAAAGTGACTACCGCCACCCATGAAAGCCTGCAACTCAGGAGTCACAAACGCCCAGGTTTAGGTTTAGGATATGGTATTTTACAGTGAAATTTATCAGAAATGATAGCAACTACAACCCCTAAAGACTCTAGGTCGACTTAACCAGTAACCCTGTATTGTATACTTATATGTATACAAATTTATATGAAAGGTATCCATATACATTATGCTATGTAACACACACCAATATTAGGTATTATTACACACCAATATATTATAATAATATACGTTTATTATTAATAAAATAAAATAAAATTGTTCCTACATTGTAATATAAATGTTAGTTAAGTTGTTCCTGTAAAACTTTGCTTATTATTGTTTGGTTAAAATTACTTTTAAGTCGTCGCCCGAACAATATACGTATATGTTTAACTGTTCAAGGGTAAGCGTATCAGGCACCCACAGGATAGGCTTGGTTAGTGTGGGGTCACCGATAATATTGTTAGTAATTACTTGGAAATAAATTATTTTTTATTAATTTGCTAATGTGTGAAGTCCGCGATACTGGTAGACCAGATAATTTATCAATTATTTAGTACGTAGGTAGTAGTTACAATATTAAAAATGTAATTGGGTATTTGTTAGGTGTTGTAATCGCATTTGCCTTTCATTATTTTAAACAAACACCAAAACTCCCACTCAACATAAATTTTCCGACATCTGTAATGAACATTGTCATGTTTAAACAAATTAATAAACAACCCTAATAAATACGTTTAGGTGTATTCTTCCTCATCACGGAACCCTCGGTCGGTTGCCGCCATGGTACGGAGCAAGAGTGTGTGGAACTCCGCCGTCTACTTGCGAAGCAGATGGCGGAGCGGGACCAGGAGAACTCTCCCGGCCCGCCAGACTCGGGAACGGGCCAGGTATTGCAGACTCAGGCGTCGGAGGTCGTAGAACGACCTCCTACTTCCATAAGCGCATTCCTGGTGGTGGCAAGTGAGGCCATCTGTCACTCTAGCAGAAGCAGGCAGGGGCGCTCCCCTTCGCACGTCCTTCGGGAGCAGAAAGGGAACATCGGGGTTCCGACACAGGATGGGGTCATCTATAAGCCGTAGATGGCCCGAGATACGTTGGGGTACCAGGCACTGGCAGTGGAGATGGCGTGCGGTTTATGGAAATCTGATCGATAGCTATCGAGTTTATGGCGATTAACTCAGTGACTAACTCGGCGTAGGACTTTGTTTTATATTATACAGTGATAAGCATTGCTTTTACCTTGATTTCTGTATAACATTGCAAGTCATACCGTCATCGGTCAGTGTTTTGAATCATATTAATAAGTCAGTATCTACTCCAAAAGGATTATATACAAATGTAATTTCAACTACACATCAATATAATTAATATCACCATTCATCCTTTGAGTTACCTTATATTGTACAAACATGTCAATAGCAGATAGTTAACACATGAATTGCCTACCACGCCATACATACGATGCCATACTCGTATTTAGTAAATATGCAGTGACCATGTCCAATGTTCGCCCGTCATATTACCTCTAAAATCAATAATTTAATTAAGTCAATCTTTTCACAAGTTGATTAACGTTATTTTGTAAGAGTAGGGTAGAGTTAAGAAGAACGAAATCATATGGAGGGAGAGTTGAAAGTGTCCAGCTATAAACAGTAAATAATAGTTATATTCTTTTCCGTGTGTTGAGGGATTAAAAATGTCATCACCCCTATTCATCCCGTGGATGTCGTAAGAGCCGACTAAGAGAGCAAGAGCTACGAAGAGCAACAGCTCTGCAGAGAAGGAAATCTTGAATACCAACCCGTCTGGCCAGCGTGGTATAGTAGGCCAAAACCTCTTCTCCAATAAGAGGTCTACGTCCAGCAGTGGACTATTAAAGGCTGTTGATGATTTTGTAAATATTGTGTATGAAAATTCATTCACCGCTTAGATTTACCTATGAGCAAACATTTATTACAAATATGTCTGTCTCCTAAGATACTCGTAACATTTGATCCAAAATAAAAATGATGCACTATTGTATTTAAAATTAATTTCACATCAGTAAGGCACAAATTATGATTCCCCTTTACAACAATTTACACATACACACAGATGTTACACAGTGGACAAAAAACAATGAAATAATTCATATTGTTTTATTTAGACCTTATCGCAGTTTTAAAGTCCTGATTATGAATGCATTATTTATGTTTTGTATAGGTAAGTCAAGTGTTCAGTGTTTCTCCAAGAACTTATAAAATAAATATGTTCAGATTACTCACTAATATCGTCGCTCGGCGGTCATCGGGATCATTGAGTTTAGCAGGTTCGCATAATTTAAATTTGCCGCGACTATTCCACTTGAACGGCGGACATAACACCATTTCTATTAATTTTTAGGATGTCAAATACATAATAAACAACGTGTATCGAGAAGTACAGCACTGAGAAGCGCTCGCGACAAGCCTAGACTGTTTCAACGACGCAACGACAGTACTTATCGCTCATGCTAGATTATCTCACCGTTCCGATTGTTTTAATTATTTCACACTAAAGAATTATATCCTCCTACTTATTATCAAGAACCTTGCAATCTTATCGACAGAAAATTATACGATTGTCACCAAATCAGTACCATTCCCTAAATTAACGTATTATTATCTATAGAAGAAAAAAAACGGTATGGTTTAATTAGAGGATTAAGATAGGCGAGTAATACAAAGACACTTAGGACAAGATAAATAAAAATACTGGTATTTATACTATAATTTATTTATAACGTAAATGAGTACACAATGCCAAAGGCTTTAAAATGATTCACTTCATTCAATATTTTTCATTAGAAAAAAATATTTACAATTTAAAAGAGAAAATCAGCTTTGCAATCCATTAAAAATTGCCACACAAAAATTCGTAATATTAATTTACTTTAGGTATCACAAATCGTATATGAGGGGGCTCGCTGTGCACTTGGCTTAAACAATTTGTCAAATAAAACTGAACTGGTATTCCTTACTAAGATCTGTGCAATAATAAAACGTGCTAAGTAGGTATCTAAAATGTGCCAAACGGAAGACATTTATTATGTAACAAATCTATTGTAGTTTACATTAAATTTCAAAACATTTAGTCAACATTATACTTACAATGTACAGATAAAGGAATTGAGCACAGTATTGTAAATAGTACCTCAAATACTGGTCGGTCGGTTGCAACAGTGTGCGCAGGCGCACTCTGGCCCGCATCGCGACCGTAACGCATACTGAGTGGTACACTGCCAACTCTACTATATTATATTTTGCATTATTGTGCTTCAACACCTACGGACTTTGGCTTTCATAATGCTCGCAACAGCGCTGACTTACTTATTAAAAGAAAAATATATCTCTATTTTTGTTTCTAAAATACTTTACGGACACTTGTCGCAAGCCACATACTCGACAAGGCCACTATCTAGTAAGTTAACTTTATAATCAGTATGCGCTACGTCATCCTACCTATGTATGGTTAATAATTTCTTAAAATCATAGACGACCGTATTGCGACGTGATCCATAACGCGGTCGGTCTACGTTTTTAAGTACACACGAATCGAACTCACAGTATTAAAATTTAATTCTGCTAATATCTGAATAATCTACAACACCAACTGAACAGCTTCGACGAGTGCAATTGACGAACAAGTGATACTTATTAACTGGCTACTTTAACAATATGAACCCTCGGGAACAAGTAATACGCACAACATAGGCGGGACCGCCGGTAACACTATATACAGAGGGCACGCGACTCGCGCCGCGGCTCGGGCGAGCGGCGGCGCAGGCGCAGGCGGGAGGCGCCGGCGGCCGAGGTGGCCCCCGGCGCCACAACTGATATGATTTATTATGCACAATATAACAATTACCTTTAGACTAATGAATACAGTACCGATGAAGCCGTCGATCGTATCGTTTGTGCACAGCATAAAAATAAGAGAGTAGTATGAAAAATTTATTTAACCTCTCATAAAAACTGAGAAACAGATCACGTTACAAAATACATATCCTTAATTTATGATTAAAATATTTTTATAATACATTGTTTTTTGATGTTATTTTTTTTAAATCTTATTGTAGCACACTAACCATTTTGTCAGATATGTAATTTAAATTCTGATTTTTCTCCAAGTAACAACAATTTGGCTTATATTTATGTAACTTTATACAAAACTTAGGTATTTTGCTCTTGTGATTTATTACATTATCATTAAAATCATTTATAAAAAGACCTTAAATAACATAAATCAAAAAGGTATTTAACTACCAGATTCTCAAGAAAACAAGACAAGTTTTGGTGGGCGATTTATTTTGAGTGCAAACAATTTAAGTGCTAGAGAACAAAACGAGTCCCGTTTACTTGTGTTATAACATTTGATGATTTAAAATATACATCACAATAATTTGTGACTTTCATAGATACAAAACACTAACGCTAAGCAATAAAATCATCAAATAGAATCACATGTACTTCTTTCTGTACTCAGATACAAAATCTTGCATTAATCAGACAATTCCTACAAAACTAAAAATGACTTAAAATAACGCATTCACGCATGAGTATTCAGCAGTAAAGCACAAAGTATTGTTCGAAGCTGCAACGAGACTACAATAAAAGTAATTATAACTTATAAAATAAGCCAGTGGCACTAAAAGGTGAGAGTAATAATATAATCAGTAAAAGGAAAATATGACACGAACCGCTTAAAACATATCGTACGGAAAGAAAAGTGATACGAACTGATACAGGTTCGACGACTAATTCCGTAAATATCACATGAAACCTTTACGAGTAAGCACCTTTACTAAATATTTATTATTTTTACTAGATTGTGCGCAAAGACTAGAATCTGCAAGACAAACGTAACAATGTCATGGAAATGCTACAAAATTGGGTAAGTTATTATAATTCTGGATACAGGATGACACGTGTTCAATTAATTAAAGCTATCATCATCAGACGAGCCGAGTTGCGACGCGACCGGCGACAGACGCGACCTACACTACATCAAATCATACAATTCGTGTGATATATCAGCATAGCAGCTGCCGAGTGGGATACGACGTATTCGGTATATTTATATCTACTTGCTACGTAAAGGTTTTAAAAATAAACGGCCAAGTTCTAAAACGTGGACTATACTTGCGACCTTCGACTTGGTCAATCCTGCAACCCACTGTGCATCATATTCCTTCAGAAATTACAACAATATGTAAAGATCGACAATCAACGATGAATAAATCAATTCAGATCTATATAATAATATAGTCATTGAACTATGTTAAGATAAAACTACCCTAGATGGCAAACATGTAGATATGTCCTTAGAAACAATTACATTAGTTAATGATAACAAAATGAAAGTATAAAATTAAAGTATGTTGTTTTGTTCGAGTTATCTACACGATGACTTATAGATTTGTTCAGTTTTTCAGTGTGAAAGACTATAAAAATCTACGGAGCAGAAGTTAATGTCATGCAACACGTATCCGAATACGTATGAATCGATGGGTTTTTGTGCTTTGGTATAAATGTTGAGCGAATTCATACATGTTACGACACTTTAAAATCCTAATGCAAAAGTTAGATCTAAAATTTACGACTTCTAAAAGGGTTGGACCCGTATGCGTGTTTGTTCTATAAAATCAAAGTCCGTACTCCAGACAAAAACATTAAAACAGCAATGTAATAATAAGACATCGTTAAGAGACATGAGTTATTGATTAAACATAACTACATACAAGGAGAAAACCTCAATGATATGTAAGAACTCGAAGGAGTTCCCTTCATTCCTTACTGGCTACAGCTAAAGCGTTTCGCCTACGTTTCTGTAAAACATAGGTTATTTAAACTAGCAACCGATTATTCGATTTATAACTAACCAGGACCACTAGTCGATACTCTTGGGGCAGACGATTACAGCCCGTACAAGAAGCAATTTGTACAGGCAAAGTACTGGACCAACTCTATTCATAAACGTTTAATAGCAACATTTTTGCAAACGAGTTCTATCAACATTTCTATACAAGGAAATGGAGAGTGAAAAAAATAACATCTAACTTAAACATTGCTAGGAAGTGTTTATGAACAAAATAGTAATACTGGTATAAACCAGTATTACTATTGTATAAGTGTATAACTTCAGAATATTCTGAGTTAAACACATTGGGAGACTATGATCAACAGAAGCTTCAAGCGTAATGGAAACACCGAAACGATATAGTACAAGGGCAGGTTACACCGCTACAGCAATGTCCGTTTCACGTTAGTGTGAACATCGACTAGCAGTGTCTATATCGCCAATTCGCACGGAATCCTAACTATTACTTTATTAACTGTGTAGATTATAAGGTAACTTTTTGAAAAAATATATTACGTTGTGTAAAATAACAACCAAATAAATGGCACCACAATCATATCGCACCAATTTACGCGTTAATCCAAAATATATTTGCACATGAAATATCTGTTGTCTTTGTATATTTATTAACACGGTTGTTTATATTGAAGACATAAATATGTCAGATCTAATTAATATGATTTTGCATGTTTACAATTAGCAAGGATTCAAATATTTAAATTTTAATCTAGAACTGCTTACGTTAAGAAATTGTAAGATAACATAGCTGAATGTATACTCAGCATCTATAGATTGGAAACTTCTAATAAAAAAAACATTTCGAATCGGTAAAGTGTGTTTCCCATTTAGTATTTACAATTTTCATGATATGCAAGTGCAAAGCTCACTAAATATATCATTATATTATATTTTTGTTCTATTGTCAGTTATACAAATGTAACATCTACAAACTAGATAGTTATGGTACGCTACTCGTAAGACGTACGCACTCGTATTAAATTATCGTAACTCTTACAATATCTAAAAAGAACGAAAGCACTCACTTTAGCTGCTCGCACTTGTATAGCATTAGGTACACAAATAATTTACAATATAGTTCAACACAATAAACTATTTCTGTTAGAAATTTTAATGACTTTGGTATTTCATAAGTCGTAGTGTCGCGGTATCACGCACTCCACACAATCGCGAACTGCGAACGCTCCAACGACGCGACCACTGACGCGACCTCTATTAGTTCATTACTAATCGCTACCCAAGCGTAGGTACTTACTAGGTAGTCGGCTAGCGTTTATTATTGATCCTTACATTATCAATTACGTTTGTACGTTTACAAAGAGAGTTCATTGTCATGTTCAGGTGAGGTGACGTAGGTAATATTCGAGTAAAATCGTTTCATGATCCACTGGCTTTAGTATGGAGCGAACCTGTTGTATCCGCTTCTATACACTGCGGTCTGAAACAAGAAAAGGTGATTTTTAATTACTCGCTACAATAAAATTCTTATCGTATAAATTCAAACAGTATGTATGTGAATAACACATAAACGTGCATTATTTATTAGGAATCTTACCCCGTATCCTGTCACTGGTCCAATACCGTGGCCTAAATAAGGGTCAGCGTATTCTCTGCCGTACCTGGAAACATGAATTGTACATATAAAGCACAGATATTACATATTACTGACGATAAACATTCTTTATTTAACCTTATCTTCTGTTTTTATATCGATACGCAGTAAAGCGATATTAATGTGGTAAAGGTAATATGAATTATATATATATAGTGTGATAATATACTATAAACTTAAAAAAGATTATTCAGATCGTTAGAATTCAAAACGATATTTTTGATCTACCTTTGTAAGTTATCTCTTTGGATGGAGAGCTCATTCTAAACTGATAATTTCAATTTGTATTTCTCTAATAATTAATTGCTCTGTGAAAATTGTAGACCAGACATTTCATTGTTTCTTGTTTCTTAAACAGGGGCAATGGTAGTAGTCGATCTACCTCCTGATACTGGAAATGATGGTGTGAGTTTTTTTTTTATGTTAGAGGGGGCACACGAGCATACGGGTCACCTGATGGAAAGTGACCATCGCCGCCCATGAACGTCTGCAACTCAGGAGTCACAAACGCATTGCCTGCCGTTTAGGAAGGAGTACGGTCTATTCTTGAAGGTTTGAAGGTCGTATCGGTGCAGAAATAACGAAAACGATAACCCGTTCTATAGATTGGTTGTGCGGGGCAAAACGTGTCTCGAAACGCACACAATAGTGGTGCGCTAACTATCCAGGTGATGAGGATGAAAACTTTGACGTGACGAGGGCGGAAAGTTCAAACAAAGTCAAAACAATTCCTGGGAGCACTCTCCATGATATACGTAACGTCAAGGGATGGAGCTAATCGGAGATGTTTGGGCTATCGACGGTTCGAATCGCTCTTCGTTGGATACGGTCCAGGTGGAGAAGCTGGTACTGAGGTGCCCCTGCATAGAGATGAAGACAGTATTCCATATGCGGCCGAACTTTAGCCTTATAGAGCTGAAGGCGGTGGGCCGGATTAAACATAGCCTCGATCTGTTCAGCAAACCGAGCTTCTTCGAGGCCAATTTGACCTTACCCTTTAAGTGACCCCGAAACTGGACTTCGCTCGATATGTGTGTATGGTACGAATCCAATCCGTTTATATGTATCCTAATTATTAAACTAGATATGACTTAAACGTAAAATGATCTTACGTGGCACCGAGAGGCGTGAGCGCGGTGGGCGTGGGCGCGGCACTGACGGCGGCGGCGGCGGCCCTCGCAGCAGCGCCGTAGTTGGCCGCCGCGGCCGCCGCCGCTGCGTGCTGCGCCGTCGTCAGCGGTGACTTGAGCAGAGGCGCGGCCGCCGCTGCTGCTGCCGCTGCGGCCTGCGATCATTAAACACGCATCATTTTGTAGTCCTCGCCCTGCACACTCGACCTTCGCGTGTGAACAGTGAGCCCACAAGGCCAAGACGCGACGGGAATGCGATCACGTTCTCGTATATCTTACCGTGGTCGACTTCCATCGATGAAGTTATGGGGCGTGGATGCCCTCCCGATCGGGAGGCGATCTGAGTAGCCGTTAGTTGAAAGCGAAAACGATGCATAGAAGGAAGGTAATGGACTACATAAAAGAAAAGAGTGTGCATTTTTGTAAATACTAAATATTTACATAAAATCGATCAACATGCAACTTGGCGACACGTTTCCTGAGATGGTTGATGATGTTTTGGTTTCTGCGTAGACTGTCGATTTTAATGATCGACCTGTACGATAGGTTGCAGACTATGTTAATGTGTTCGACGAACATGCATACAAAAGAAACGAATACTTCGAAGTCGATACAAACTAAATCAAAACGTCGAACTGTTCTAAAACTATCTACAGAATCGGTGGTCGTTAGTGTACTTAGATAACTGCAATTAATTTTGTGGGCTCAATGTTCTACTCGTAGCATGGTATTAGCGTTTGATCGAGTACTCTTACAGCTTCAACATAGGCCTAAAACTAAATCACCCACCACAATACCAACGAACAAGGATAAACTCAAGAGAAAGCAAGCCGCGGGCCAGCCGCGTCGCGCCGTGCGCACTCCGTCTCGGTTACCACAAACACAATGTGCACCCTGCATTACGGTGGATTACCAATCAATAGGACCATAATAAGGAGCAAACAAAATCCCAGCACTCACTCCATGATGGATATCGAATTTATACTAGCTTGGTGGAACATGAATCAGGAAGCGATAGAGAAAAAGATACAGTCGCGTATCGAGCGAAACTGAACTCTAAAGGCGTGATGTTTACCTCTGCTGCCGGCTTCGCGGCCTGTAACAACACACGCACTGTCACCACACCACGCCCACACTCATCGTTATCAGTTACTTGTCTTGCGACTGCTAACTGGCCAATGAATCAGTACCGTACTAGTTAAAACGTTCATTAACATCAAATATAATAATCAGTTGCAACAGACAAATATGTTAAATGAAGAAAGTGACATTTACCTGGAGCCTGTAGTTGTTGTCAGCTGTGGCAGCCGCAGCTAAGAACGGGTCGTAATATACACTGTAACGTAAAATAACACGGTCAATATAACGTATAACATAACATCACTTGACTTCAGCAAAAACACAGTTGCGATTCGATTTAATTTATACTTCATGTTAAATTCCAGGATTTTTCCTTACATTAAAGTGATATAATGTTTATAATATATTTTGTAATATAAAAGTAATTTACTTGCTCGTGACTAGTTCACGTCTTGCATGTCAGTCAGTATTATACACAAAATACAATACTTTTTTTACAATTTTACTGCGCCTAAAAAGAACTTCAAATATTATGGGATAATATAACAATTGTATTTCTAATTCATTATGTATTTTAATTTTATACTAAATACAGTATAAAAGTGCAGTGTGAGTTGTTATATTGATTAAGTGCTATTAGTGCAGAATTAAATAACATAAACTAAATAAAAAATCTACTTAAATTTGACTACATAGTGAAATAACGAGTGGAGTAAGCACTAGACTAAAGGTGAATCTATAAGTAGGCTAAGGCGTACAGTCCAGTTAGATTTGACGTAGCTATTGTTAGTTACATTTAAACATCAATCAATATTATTTACGTGAAATGTGTACATTGATATTACAATATAAAAATAACTCATACCACAGTTAGGTGAAGGGGTTCTAAGGATAGGAATGTCTGGGAGCGTTGAGGGAGACCTGCATCCTGGGACATAAAAGATGTATATTTTTATGTTAACGAAAAACATATTTCTTTCTAGCCTTGCTTGACACTAAACAATTTCCCATAACATTCTTCATTCCATTTGAAGAATGTTTTTCAATTGCACCGCCCATCGATGGTATGACTAAGCCGTTATATCTATATCCCAATGGAATCAATAACAATCAGAAAAAAGGTTAATACATAATTTTTTTACTTTTAACAGGAGGTATCGTTCCTATGCATAGGCGGTCAAGGTTGTGTAGGCCGGCAAATGGTTTGTCCTACCCACAGCCTGTCGTTAAATGATTTTTAAACAAATTAATATATTTGATACACTGACTTTGAAATTATTGCGTTTCAAGATATATAAGTAAGTATGTGCATATTTCTTACAGGCTAACTATGGCTATTATCAATTAAATTTCCGTATGTGTACATAACTCTAAATAGATTTAATTTAATATGTATTCTATACATAGGTGCATATCAAAACATTCTATTTCTAATGCTTGAGAAAAAAGTGGTTCCGCATTTTTATTTTTATTTATGATAAAACTTAAAACGCATCGAAATATTATGTCTACCGAGTTACCTTTGTTAATTGATTTAAAAAAATCATTGACTAATAGAGGTATATGATTATAATTTCCAGATCTGCTATAATCTATTTCATCCCGGATGGAGGGGTCCGTGGGTGGAGGGGTTCGGTTAACGGTGCTTGTGGTGCGTTACTCACTGAGCGTACGCGTGCAACGGCGACGCGTAGGCGGCGGCGCGGGGCAGGACGGCGTGCGGGAGGGTGTGCGGGGGCGCGGCGTGCGGGGGCGGCTGCGGGCGCTGCTCGCGGGCGCGGAGGGCGGCTACATGCAACAGTCACACGCTACTCTAACATGCGTTACCTGCGACGCTGCGCGGCTCGCGGCGCCAGCACCAGCGGGGGCGCGGCCGCGGCGGCCGGCGCGGCGCCCAGCCACGGCCACGTCACGCCCGACACCCGCAGCCCTGCGCACACAAGCGCCTCTACACACTGCATACTACCCGCCTACCTCGATATACCCGCTCTACCCTCTCAAAACGCCGCTACGAGGGAGAGCGTTCATAAAATTTCCATCGGCCTAGGTGAATATTACTTTCCGATCTCCCCTTCCTCTATGCTCTGGAAACTTAGGACACGAAGTAAAATTGTGAGGCACACCGACATTGCTGTCGGTCATGGCGCCAATTGAACTGATGTTAAATAATATAGGAAGGCTGTTGTCGCGTCTATCCATATAGATAATACGTGTGTAGAGTACGCCCCTCTAGTGTTGCAAAGGGCGGGTGTATTTATTATACAGATTCCTTTCAAGGTGTACGTTCAAAGGATTATGATTCCAGACGACCGAATAATCCCACCACATTGAGTGAAAAAGATACATGCTCGAATGAATGTTATTTAATGTAAACGCGCAAGCTTTAGTTTTCGAATTAACAATAATTATTAAAAGGCTCACCTTCGGGCCACTGGACACACACTGAAACAAAATTATTCATGTTCTTATATAGACCAAATTGAGTTTTTATAACTTTTAATCTAAATCTAAGACAGAAACCAAGACCTAGAAGACATTCTCCACTACAAATTGAACTAATTATGCATAGTGCATTAAGTAAATTGCAATCATTCCAGCAAAGTTTAAGGTATGAACAAACGTGTATGTAATAGCTGTACGGAAGTGTGTTACACATGTATATCTAGCAAGCTGTCTAACTGAAGTGTCATCCGTTCATAAACAGTGAGTTTAACTCGCCAGGCAATGTAGTGCCGGAGACAGGCTACTTTAGCGCGATTGTCGCTCTGTATGTATGAGGACTGAGGATGGCTGAAGTTTGTAGTGAAGTGGTGTGCCCGGACGAGACTGTCTCCGGCTGCTGACTGGTGACTCATTCTCTAAGTAGCATTCACCTAGTAGCATTCAGACAACGGAACTAGCCATAAGTAATAATTAAGTACATCGACATGAACAACACCGATCTTTACAATTTCAGCTCTCTCACCCAGAGTGGGAACTGATCCATTTCTAGCCAGAATAACTGGATGGATTAAAAAGAGAAATACCAAGATACATTATACTTCGTACAGTAGTGGTAAAGTGTATGTTATATTTGTGTGAACTTTGGTTTAACTTTTAATTAAGGGGATGATTGTTTCATGTTAATGAATATACGTTTTTTACTTACCATTTGGTACCGTCGGTGGTTTCTTTGTCTGCACTCTCGCTGTAGCATTATTAACCTGATTTAGATTAAAATTTATGTGAGAAAATATTCATGGATGTAAGACTTGATAATCAGCCGATTTAAACATGTATTCATAAATAATTAACATATTAATTGAAAACAGATCAGTTAAGAAACAATGTAATTCTGCTGATGAAGACAATTGGAATCTCAATTTTTTTTCTTATGGGGTTCGAACCCAATGCGTTGTAGCTAATAATTTCAAAATAAAATGTAAAAACAAATAAAATTTTCATCAGGTATTTTATATTTAATGTAAAATTAACCAATAGCGTATCAGATGTCTTGTGTCTAAATCCAGTTAATTAAAAAAAACTAAACAAACTTAAGTAAAGTATATAAATTAAATTAACAAAAATAAATGGTGTAGGCTGCAGCATGACATCTGATATTTTAACATAAAATAGGAAAAAAGGGAAAACTTTAAGAATTTATTAGGGATGTATGTATATGTTAAAGAGATAAAATAATACTTTTCCACAGCGAATAGAGTTCATTCTATTCTTAGGTATAGGTTCTGATTGACTCGTCTACAGCGACACTTTTCAGCACGTCTATAGAAAATGTAAAATGAATAGATAGAATGGAACTAAAATTTGTATTTGCAATCTTACCTCAGCGGCATTGTGACGATACGGTTCGTTCTACATTTCTCTGTGAGACACTCTCTCTTTCGATCGGCATATTAAATGACCGTCTAGAGAGTAAAGGGATAAAATAAATAAGGTTTGTTTGTGGATTAGACGCCGGCGTACTTAGTGCTAATATGCGGGACCGCGGCGCGGCACGCTAGCATGACAGTAACTACAGAGCAGACGAGCGCAGGTTGCGGTGGGCGTGGGCGTAGGAGCGGGATGTTATAAGTTACATAGTGCTACGGATGGTAATCATTGAGTCATGCACACCTCTATCTTTCTGCCCTCAACCACGGTGCCGTGAAGACGCTCTCGTGCTCGCTCCGCATCACCACTATTTGCGAATGTTACAAAACCGAATCCCTGCATGCAAGACAGACAAAACATGCATTAAAAACAGCGTCGCTCAAAAAACAACGTGCAACAAAAATTAACATTTATGCATTGCATATTCTTTTTTAAATATTCTAGTGAAATATCGAGAAAATATTATCGAGTCAATTACGTTGATACTTTGAGCGTATACTAGCTGTATGGGTACACAGAAGCGTTTGGATCACAGTAATAAATCAATGTAACGTCGCTCGACCTAGTAGTCTGTACTATTGGTAGGAGAGTTTGTATCACTGTATACAACGAGACTTAACAATTCACTTTACTAATTCATAGACACTACTTTAATCAGAATGACAAGTAATTGTGCGGGAGTTAGCTGCGATTTGTTCTATGCAGAAAAATCACCGATCATGCAGTGGCTAGTCAACTAAATGAATCTAAATAAAACACATTTACAGTACAACAAACGGATTTCATTTCCATTGCGGAGAAATCGTGTACAATACTCAACACTTTAATAGATTATATTTTGATAACATGTTTAAATGGTACAATAATAAAAAGTATACTAGACTTGGAGTCATACCAAAAGACATACCTACAATCATTTAATAATTTGACATTGTGCAATACTTTACAGTGCCCAAAAATAACACTTTTAACGTAAGCAATAGTACCTAAGCTTATTGATTAAATAAATATATATGTATATATAATGTACATATATCCGGTACAACCTTTTAAATTACATTATTTGAATCACACAAATCACTATTAAAATTGAGGTAAGTAGCATTTAGGACGCGGTATACAATTTCGAAAAATATTGTATCAATATATCGTGCTAAGACAAATGAAACTACTTACTTTCATTAATGGTGATAACCCATAGATACAAAAAGCAGCTAGCACAGCACACAATACAGTGGAAGAGACGAGTTGTGAAAGTGGCAAACAAGTTGCTGATTGTACGAAACGCTTACACTTATAAAAGCAAATGACAGCTCTATTATTACCATTCTGAGTGCAAATACTTATAATGTAAACATTAAATCTGGGCAGAGAGAAAGAGAGAAAAAATATAAATAACTAAGATGCGAGGTCCCGTCCAACACTCGCGGTAACCGACCGGACTGTAACACAACGCACACAGTGCAACAAGCTCTCAGTATGTTGACAGACACAGAATCGATCCAACAGACGAGGAAGACACAAGTGACATATAGCTCAGAAACATTACGCTAAGACACTCACTCTCTGAACATTGCAAATCGGCTATTCACAACTAACTTAATGTTTCATAATTATGTTATTGTGCTTTGAAAATCTCATTCATAAATTTGCTATAGGATTTTACTTAATCATTAATAAAAATACGAATTTATATGTTTTGTAAAATATAGAAACATATTCACAGTGTAGGCAAGATAAATTTGTAACAAAGTAATTGTGATTCCAATGAGACCAGTGTGGGCCAATGTTCATAATAAGCCGATTTGAATCCTCTAGTGAAGCTTAATGTTACCGGACGTATATGGAATAAAGCCAAACTAAGTGATGCACCCTATAGTTACTTCTAGTAAAATAACTTACATCTTAGAGTCATTGCGTTACATTATATAACATTGTGTTTCCAGGGTTCAGCGAAATATACATGCCCAAAACTAATTAAAAATATATTCCCTTGTTAGGAAGCATGACTGAACGATTTTTAATATTTATTAATAACACAGTGGACAGAAAATAGTAAGTACACTGTCAATCTAATAGACTAAATACATCAGAATCATCGATCATCCAAACTACAACATAGATGCAGTAAAGGTTTGTACATGACAATATAGTAAATATATACACAATTTCAAAACATTAAGATACAAATATATAAGATGTATATAATAAAGATTGGAGCAGTTTGGACGATTGTAACAACCTCATTAGTGATGAATAATAGAGCTGTCCTGAAAATATGACTTAGGAAATCAGCTGTTATAGTGACGATGCACATTCTCTAATACTGCATATCCCAATGTGAGGCATTGAAGAAAAAAATATTTTGAGCTATTATTTCAAAAGAGTAAAATACTTTCTTGACATGAGCGAGCATGGACTACTTTTAGGGGTGGTCACCAAACTGACACAAGGAAAGCAGTAAACACGAAAAAGCGTTCAATCCAATTATTATTGTAAAAATATTTCGATAATAACTCTTTTAATTTCATGGGAATAAAATCATTTACAGTGAGTTGTTTTTTGAGTATTTGAAATATTTAAAATTAATGTTGCTAAATAACAACAGAATGCACCATGGACGTACTTATAAAGTGATCATTTCACTCATATTAATATAAACTAAACAACGGATAAATAGAAACGCAGCTGATAAAAGTATGTCAATGGTGCATTAGGTAAATATAGTCCAGATATCGTTTAAAATCAGAGTAATAGACATTTTTCAATGGTAATTTACAATGCAATTAGGTATACTGCACCAAACATTAAAACCAATATGCTATGAGAAAGAAGTCTGTTTAAAACACAATTATGATTATTTAACTAAGCCCATTTGCCTTAAAATTTTGTTAAACAAGGAGAATTAATCAAGTCACATGAATTGAATAGAAATAAAACTTTAGATCGAAATATTATTAGGAAATTTTGTATAAAATCGGTAGTTACTTTAGTTTGGGCAGAGAATACTAAAGTATGTTAGTAAGACCTCTTAGCTACTGCACTTAAGACTCATTGACGAACTCTTTTCATTAAGAATTTTATTGTATTATATCAAAAATTATTTGTCAAACTATATTTAAAAAAATGTCCTTAGTAATTATATGATATTCGTCAAACTATATTTAAAAAGTTCTAACAAAACTCGACACGTCAATAGCTATGAAGTGCATAATATGGTGCATAAAGTAAAGGAATAACATAATTTTAACAATTATCTTGTTTCTATATGTATTGATAAAAGAGGTCGAGTCTAGTCACAGGTTGTTGTAGATATAACTAGAATACGAAGCAAGATGTCTGAATATAAAAAAATATCGGGGGTTTTAAATATAAATTATTCCTTTAAATTACTTCTTAATTTAAAAAAAGAACCATAAAACACTGCTCAGATGGTACATACAAAATAAATTTATTATAATGTTTCAAATAAAATTTTGAAAGAAATTAAAAAAAGATATGTTTATAATTATTAATTAATTAATATTAATCTTTGTGTTTTTTGATTCTAATTATAAACAATAATAGACGAAGTGGCTACAATGAAATCCAATTACAAAGTACTGATTTCAATGAACCACTTGATTTTCAGCATTTCGACTGAGAACCATGCTTACCTTCGAGCCACGTTCATTGAAGATTATTTCTACATCAAGTATTGTGCCATATTGCTGAAATATAAAAGGTTGGATATTAAAACAATAACTTTTGAGTTGGGTAGTTATTACTCGGCGTGCTCGTAAAGTATGCTATGCTAGGTAATATAATGTACGTACCCCAAACATATTTCTAAGATCAGGATCTCTAAACCGGAAAGGTATATTGGAGACGTGCAACCGTTTCGGTTGTGACGCTTGTGACACAGGGACAAGTGTCTTATCCTGTGAGGGTTGCGCAGCTACAGCGGCGCTCACGGCTGCGGCTGCTGCATGTGCTGCTGCGGCTTGTTGAGCTACTACTGCAGCGGCCTGTTGTGCTACAACTGCGGCCGCTACACTCACCGGTGTGTTCTCTTCATTTGATTCTCCTTCGCTTTGCTGGAAAATAGATTATTAATCGAGTTACTTCTCTTAACCCTCGAAAATTTGGATTCATTTAAGATAAAACGATATTCATGAATATGTACTTGGTTGCAACATATATATATGTTCATTTACCGAATTAAAATTTAGAGCTGCACAGATTATAAAACTAAACCTAAAAAAAAACCGTTATAAGACTTTGCATGGCACTGATCGTGCGCGTGTTTGCAAAAAAGAATATACAATAACATCCAAAAGCGAGAGTGATGCATGGTAACTTCCTTCACGGATTAAAATACCGTAACCACTGATACCGTAGCTTTTAAAAAAAAACTAAATTACAACATTCGTCTATTCGTCCGTGTAGTGACGAGTCTAGGAAAATATAAATTCTTAATAATTTCAATGTACTATAACTAGTAAAAATATCTTTACGAATATATAATTTTATATAATTTTATCCGTAGTACGTAACAAAATAACTTTGGTTTAAAAACACCCATTAAATTTGTTTGCAAATCTCAAAGACGATGGATCATTGTTTGAAAATCTCAAACAACGATACCTATTAATTCTTTAAACATTTCCATATTTTAATAAACTTTTTACTAATCTACATGTAAAAAGATCCTCATCGAATTCTTAGAGTTTCTGATATATATTTACTCAACAGGGTACTACAGATACTTAAATACTTACCGAAGTATTATTTTGATTTTCTATTGAGTTTTGTGAGTGAGTCTGTGGTGGTGGCTGAGGTGAGAAGTTAGCTGGCGGTAGAGGTGCCGGTGGCGGTGGCCCTTCGCTTTTGACAAGCGGTGGCTGTGGTGGCGCAGTAGGGCCAGCAGCCTCCGCCTTCACACCAGCTAGCGCATCACCGTTCGCCGCGTATTGTGCCGCTGCCGCCGCAGCCGCCGCCGCCGCAGGGAACGGGTTCGCCATGCCCGTCCCCACCATATGCTGGAATTCACAAACACAATAACATTTAAAAAAAGAATATGCCATGGAGCCATAATATATGTCAACAAAACGATTTTGATTATCAAAGAATTTGAAGCTATTTCTTTCAGGGACGCGGCCTAGGTGGCTTACGTACTAATTCTGTCGTAATAAATAAACCCGCTTATAGTTGACGTTTCTGGGCTGCGAATCGAAATATTGACGTGAACAACTCGTGCCAAAACACGAGTCGCTCCACATCGGCATCTTCACATAGGTACAGTAAACTCATATGATGCCATAGCCGTAGCCCGTACTAACATGATACGTGACGGATATTATGACATGGGTTAAACTACTTTTAATTCGATTTTGCCTCAATTAGGAATACCTAACAACTTTTTAATTTAAATTCTAAGCTGACAAAACCAATTAGCTACAGTTAATCTTACAATTGGTATATTATGAAATATAAAATCGTTTCAGAACTTGGTGATGTAAATTTACGAAATTGCTTTTACTTATATTCTTTAAATATGTTTAGATTTTAGAAGGTGTAAGAGTTAGCAGCAGTTTAATTAATGTAGAATACTGGATATTAAAGAAACTTAATTGTTAATGAAACCTCTTCAGGACCTGTCTACTTTACATATTTCATAAAGCATGGGGCACCACGCTCACGTGTGCTGTGCATGCATAATATAAACCTCACACATTAACCGAACGTTAAAGAGTGAAACCAGAGCGTTTGCAAAAGATACTTGTAGGTATTATTAAAATATACTTTTACTGCTTTTAATTTCACTTTAAGTCTCAAAAGCCTGTCGACAACCAAATTAAAAGGCGAATGAAATCTAACACAAAACTCGCCCCCGGCCGCTCGAGCCCTTCGGCACGTTAATACACTGATGTCCTTGGGCTTTAAACAGAACGTGTTGAACGTTTATGTTTTATTTAATATAAATATATATGAGATTTTTCTCCCTGAGATGCGCAGGTAGAGTTTATTGTGGCAAAGAAACTGTCTCGTGGCCTTGCTATTACACATACATACAATATTCTACTACAGGTAAGGAGACTTTTAACTTGGCACTAATAACTGTGTGCATTTTATCAGGCTCACCTGAAATACATTAAAATAAACTTGGATGTATATTTTGAAGTCTTTAAACCTCATTGCTCTAATTCAATAAATGTTTACATTTTAAGTCGGCGTATAATATCATTTTTAACCATACATTCGAGTAATATAAGTAAAATGTAACAACTACGCGCTAGAACGCAGCGCTGCACAGGAAACGAGAAAATTAGGAAGTGACTATTGGTCGCAATTGTGAAGTGAGTGTACGAGTAGGTACTTGTTCTGAGCCGCAATAAAGAACACGTCTGTTATACTATATTACATAAATGTCGTTGATATTATGTAGTTGTGTACCTACACCAAAATTAACATAGTTAAACAACTATCCGATGTAAATAGACCCGATCCTTGAATAGTTCTTTAAGATGTGAAGTTAAAATGATTTGAAATTTGACATAATTACTAAATTTTTGCCCTGTCCACTAAATAATTTATAATTCTGTCAAAAACGTCCTGGTACGAATTTGTGAAGACCTTTAATTAACTGAACAACTTAGAATAAGACAAAATTGCGCTTTTAAATTAATATGTTACTATCTTACCATCCACTAAATTGAGCTTTTTATGATTACATAATATTTTATGCAGAGTTTGTATAATTATGATTTTGTCGGTTACTCTGGAGTTTGCTATTTGCTGAAGTCTTGAAACATATAGGCCTTCTACTGCTTGTTTTTCGATTTCATATTTACTCTATTACAAAATTGATTCCTATTTATAGAAAAAAAAACTATCTTACGCATATCAGACGACCCAGTAAGCAGTGCAAATCAGGAGTAAGAGGCAAAAAATAATGGGAAAGTAAATTTACCTGTACGAGTGCGAGTATAAGCTACCATGACTGGCAGAAATTTACACAGTAGTACACAGTACCTACTCAACTAACAGCAATATGGACTAAATTTATTAGAAGCGTCTACATGTTTATATTTAACAAAGTATAAGGCATAAATCATTCTCTTTTCAGGTGCGTTTAACAACAGAATTTACCCCCTGAGCTATTAATAAAATGATATTTTACAAAGAGAACTCGAGCTCCAAACATTCGACATCCCTCAACAATAAGGTGTAATTTTCCCTAAAATATAAATGAAACAACATTTTGGTGAATAGCACAAATTTTGCCATTGTGTTTCTTTTACAATAGATCTGCGTATAAAAACTCTGTGGAAGTCCTTTCTAAAAGATCCGCTAGCGATACCCATAAAGTCAATAACCGGGTAGATGGCTGAGAGGGTGTTCAATTGAAAACATTATAAATACAATACAAAAGCGATTAATGACGATCGCTCTAATAGCATAAATGGATCGATTTGAACTACGCTCATTTTGCTTTTACAAACACCGTAATTTAAAAACTGTTTTCATTACAGGCTTTTTTTTGGTATAACAATTAATAAATAACGTCCTTATACAATTTACAAATGGTAAACCTGTTTCATTTAATTAAAATTTATACACATTGTTTTCTTCATTTGAATTCTTTATATACAAGCATGCATACAGTGACGTCTCGTTCTCGTCTCGGATAGACAGAGCAGACAGAACGCCATTGGCCACATTTATAATATCTAGCTAAAGCATTAATGACAAAAGCTAAACGCTAAAGCTGACAATGAGTATATGAATGGTGTTTGATTCAAAGTTAGAGAAGAGGCAGACTGGTAGTCTTTGGCATTAGGGTACACAAATTTCGATTGAAATTTAATTTTTCGTCACAAAAATTATAAAAAAATAAAAAAAAAATGGTTTAAATGAAATGCATTTCATTTTCTTTCAATATATAAATAATACAATAAATTAAATAAAAGAAGTCAGAAATTTGTATGCAAGCCATTGGTATATACATGTTATCAAAAGTACTGTAATTTCTGCTACTATTATTAAAATGTCACTACAAGACCAAAAGTATTACTTACAATACAATAAAGGTGTAAATGGCTGTGTTTTATTTTTTAAACAATACAGAATGACACCAAGAATGTAGGTGAGAGTTGTGGTGCCGAGATACTCGACACATCATACGCAAGTCAGAGTGGAGTATCTCAGCTCTGGGCACTTCTGAGCCACAACTAAGGGCACTTCGTTTTTTGAGTTTTAATTTGGCAACCAGTATACCGGCCCGAGAGGGGCGATGATTTACTACACATGTCAAGTCGCCTTAGCATCCTCTCGATTAGTCCGATATTTATGGCAACACGAGACAATAGTTGTGAGTCATTTCGTGGCAGCATAAAGATACTTAATGACGACATGGTAGCAATACTCAACTAACTTCTTGATATGTATTCCAGTCGCATAAACTACGGGCTTAAAACTTCATTTAAATGAATACGACGTTACTAGCTGACAAAGCTATGTAACGAAACTATTTAAACAAATTCGTTTTTACAACGTGTACGTAGTTACAGTACAAAATTGTTTATAATACATAAACAGTTTTGTAATGAACATAGAGCGTCTGCAAGTGTTTTCAACACAAATCAATGGCAATGCAGGCAGCTTCGATGACTACACCCTGTGGTTAATAGTTCGAAGAAGGTTACAATGACCACTACACATGTGGTGAGCCACCTCCTATCGTCGTATCCGGCGGTCGTGTAAACAAACTGACTTTTTATAGAGCGCGCCTGCGATTCGTCTCACACAACCGCCTGCCTGCTTAGTCTCGTTTACTTCTGAAACTGTACAACATGTTTGTAAACGGCCAGGTACAGTTTATAGTTTCTTTGTAAATGTGTATACATCTCCAGTAAAGTAATAAACCTTTAAAGTTATTTCCGAAGAACTCTTTGCGTAATATATAAAGTTAATTCAAATTCCAATGTTGTGCGTTACGTCTAATGTGAATAACATATTAATAAATTGTCAAAGTGGAATGGTTCCCGTATGTATGTCTTAATGCGTTTAAAATTTGAATAAATCGAGAACTTTAAGACTAAAATATACTTTTGCTACTGTATTCCAACATACAGTAACAAAAAAAAATTATTACTTAAACACCATTTGACTTATCTTGTAAGTATATCAGTAAAATTAAACAAAAACAGTTGACCGCATAATGGTTACATCTACATTTACGGATGCGTACATTTTCTCGTTAATTTATAGAGGTAGCGCATTGTTAGGACTCCGTATTAACTCACTACTGTAAGAGTCTAAGTAAATAACTTAACATGATAATGAAAATAAGTTTAAGTACTAAAGAAATTGCCTATTTGCCTAAAAATTTAACTTCCTTTTTTCTAAAATTTATTTAATCAAAATATTTGCCCTCATTATCTGCCCTTATACATTGCTGCCATCTAAGCGGAAGTTCATTTATGCCTTTACGATAGAACTCTGGGGATCTAGATTCGACAAACTGCGTGAAAGCAGTTTGTACTGCCTCCTGGGAATGAAATTTTTTATCACGTAGAAAATTGACCAATCACGAAAAAAATGGTAGTCCATTGGAGCAAGGTCGGGCGAGTATGGAGTTTGACGTGTGGTTTCTAACTACAGCTCCTGGAGAGTTACAACGGTTTCTCGTGCAGTGTTAGGTCTTGCGTTATCATGGAACAATAATGGTGAAGATCGGCTGTTTCCCTGCCATTTTCGCCATTATTGTTCGAAGTTCGGCACAGTAAACCTCTGCTGTAATTGGCGGATCAGATCTGAGAAAGCTGTGGTGAATAGACCACCAAAGAGTTACCATTACTTTTTTATTAAGCCGTAAGCGAAAAATGTAATGGTGCCCTAAAGCATAGCTTACCATTACATTTTTCGCTACAATATTCCTTCATTTCTGTACCAATTCAATAAGGCAAAACAAGTTTCAACACCCATTTATACTGCAGATCAGTCAAATCATGAGGCACCCATTTTTCATATTTTTTAT